CAGCCAAGCTCCCACCCAATCAGCTCAAACCCCACTGGCAGTTAAAAGGAAGAAACAGCTGCGATCACACACACTACTCCCAGAAGCACGAAGCTGAAGACACCAGCCTGAAGATGACGAATGTGACTTCGTCGAAACGTCGCCAAGACACTTCTAATTCTACGCGGGAGAAAACCCGAATAACTAAAGACCTACATACTAACACCCGCGAAAACCTCAGAAAACACACACACACACACACACATATATATATATATATATATATGGTTAATGATATCTGTAAAAATATGACTCCCGGGTGTATTCATTATGAAATAACTAATTAATTTACGATCACCAGGAGGGTTTAAGTAAAAATACTTTAATTGAAAACCGAGCTTTCGTTGGAAGCTCCCAACATCTTCAGGGTTAAAAAGCCAGTTAAAGGAATGATTTAAATAATGTTCATTAAATAATGGTCAGCGCTAGAAACACCAAGACAGATAACAGAGAGAAAGGCACTGAGACAGTTTGCAAAAGAGTCAAAATAAATAATAGAGTCAAACAGGATGCAAACACCATAAAAACGATTGAAATGCAGACCAACCAGACAAGACTGAGGACTTGCTCCAAGAACCGAGCACAAATGCTAACGAACATTATTTAAATCATTCCTTTAACTGGCTTTTTAACCCTGAAGATGTTGGGAGCTCCCAACGAAAGCTCGGTTTTCAATTAAAGTATTTTTACTTAAACCCTCCTGGTGATCATAAATTAATTAGTTATTTCATAATATATATATATATATATGCTCGACAGCTCCAGGAGAAATGTCAGGAGCAGAATCGTGAACTATATACCACCTTTGTGGATCTCACCAAGGCTTTTGATACAGTTAGTCGTGAAGGATTATGGCGCATTATGTCGAAGTTTGGTGCCCTGACAGATTTATTCTGATGGTACGGCAATTCCATGATGGCATGGCGGCTCGTATTCTGAGCAACAGTGAAGCCTCAGAGGCTTTCCCTGTCACAAATGGCGTTAAGCAAGGCTGCGTGCTGGCACCAACCTTGTTCAGCATGATGTTTTCAGCCATGCTGTCTGACGCCTTTCAGAACAGCTCAGTGGGAGTCAATCTGAGGTACAGAACCGATGGGAAATTGTTCAACCTGCGAAGACTCCAGGCTGTCACCAAGGTAAAGGAGACTGTGCTATGAGATCTTCTCTTTGCTGATGGCTGTGCCCTTAATGCAGGATCGGACCAGGAAATGCAAGCCAGCATGGACAAATTCGCAGCCGCTTGTGACAACTTTGGCCTCTCTATCAACATGAAGAAAACTGAAGTGATGTACCAGCCAGTTCCAAAAGCCCAATACCAAGAGCCTACCATCACAGTGAAGGGACAAAAGCTGCAAGCAGTGGACCAATTTACGTATCTTGGTAGTACCCTCTCCCGTGCAGTGACAATTGACATCGAGGTCAACTGTAGAATTGCCAAGGCAAGTTCTGCCTTTGGCAGACTGCGGACTAATGTGTGGGACCGCTGTGGAATAAGCCTTGCTACTAAGCTTAAAGTTTACCAGGCAGCAGTGCTAACTACCCTGATGTATGCTAGTGAGACTTGCCTTCGCAGAATTCTGAGGATCCAGTGGCAGGATAAGATACCAGATACAGATGTCCTGTCCAGAGCAGGCCTATCATCAGTTTACACTCTGTTAATGAAAGCCCAGATGCGCTGGGCAGGCCACGTTGTAAGGATGCCAGACCATCGCATCCCTAAACAGCTCTTCTATGGTGAGTTGTCTCAAGGAAAGCGATCGCACGGGGGATAAAAGAAGCGATACAAAGACACGCTGAAAGCATCTCTCAAGTCCCTAGATATCGACACCATCTCTTGGGAATTTTTGGCGCATGATCGACCGACATGGCATACCCTGGTTTACTAGGGTTGCCAGATATATGAACACAGAAGGACAATCTTGGCACAAGAGAAGCGAGCACTCCGTAAAGCCAGAGCTGCAAATGCTGAAGCAATAGTGTCCATGTTTCTCTGTTCAGTATGTGGCAGAACATTCCATGCTAACATCGGTCTTATCAGCCATCTACGCACCGTTGATGGCCCATAATCCATAAGATGTCAAGGTCTTCATCGAAATCGATGGACGAATAACACAATACATAATAGTACATTTTTCTGGGCATTATATATAATACATAATAGTCAAAATCTTTAATTTATTGTTATGTTTATTTTTAATATAATCCAAATTGCTTTTATAGCTTGGCTTTCACAACAAAGCATAGGCAGTTCCTCTCAGGACAAAAGAAGTAGATGTTCCATAATGAAGTGTCTGCAGGAAAAGTTACGATAATATTCCACACAATAGAGAGTAAATAGAAACAAAAGGGAAAATTTCCATCTCTTTAAAAAGAAAAAAGACTATATGTATACTCTGTGTGTGTGTGCTTGCGTGCGTGTGCGCGCGCGAACACACACACACACACAGAGCAAAGTTCTTTTAAAAATTAATAAAATACAAAATCCATGTACTAGAAATCCAGTGCAAATGTAAATCAAATCAAATGACTTTCACCACTAAGTAGAAAATTTTGGAGCTGTCAGCTTCCATGTGGCAAAATGTTTCATAGCTCCAAAGCAAAGCAGTAAAAAAAAGGTTAAAAGTTCACCTTTATATTCCAGCAAAGGGTTATAAAATAAATCAGCATTCAAACAGATGATTAAAACAACAAAAAAGAAGAAAATAGTGTAGATTTCTATAACCGGGCAAGTATACAGTTGTCCAAGGGTCATCTTAGGTCACTCCTAGTTGCTCCTGTTAAAATCTGGGGAGCGCACTGCCAAAAGACTGGTTGTGGTGGCAAATTCAGGTGTTTGTTGGCAAGAGAAAAAATTGTCCCACCATTCAATGTACTATTTTCTGAAGATCTCCCATTATACTTTGTTAAAACAATAGTTACACAAGTAGTCCTTGACTTACAACCAAAACAGAGCCCAAAATTTCCATTGCTAAGAAAGATAATGGTTAAGTGAATTTTCTCATTTTATGAACTCTGTTGCCGTCATTGTTAAATGAATCACTGCAGTTGTTAAGCTAGTAACATGGCTGTTAAATGAATCTGGTTTCCCCATTGATTTACTTTGCCAGAAGTTCACAAAAGTTAATCACGTAATCTCAGGACAATGTAACAGTCATAAATACATGTCAGTTGCCAAGCATCCAAATTTTGATCAGATGACCATAGTGATGCTGCAGTGGTTGTTAATGGGAAAAACAGTCGTAAGTCACTTTTTTCAGTGTCATTGTAAATTCAAATGGTCATTAAATGAATGGTTGTAAGTCAAGGACTACCTGTAAGCCAATAGTCTTGTTATTGCAGCAGCATACAAATTTGATAAATAAGTAAATATGTACAGTATATTCTATAAGCAGCTGCATTTATAAAATCAAAAGCCAAACCAATATATTTACATCAGGAAAAATTGTATTCAGGTTGTGAGAACTTTCATTTCAGTCTGATAAAAGTTTGGCTCTTGATCAGCTCAGTGACCCCTTTTAATTTACATTTGATAATTGTATGGTTTTTTCTTGTTATAGCAAATTGTTAAATATAGCAATTTTTAAAAATCTTTATTTCCTTAGCGCTGGGACAAATTATGCTGTATGTTGATGGAATGAATGGAGTAATAAATCACAGTGAAACCATCCAGTGGTTGTACATGCTAATAGGGTCTAAGGTAAGAATATTTTTTGGAGATTTTTTACTACACTTTTTCTTTTAAACATAGTTCTGAGCCATATCAGTACTTTTTAAGCATTTCAAATAGACCAATGCTTCCCAGCTAGCAAAAAACTAGCTGTGAGTTATGCTGTTTTAGGAATTTCCCAATTTCGTAGCTACTTGAAACCATTGGATAACACTGCATATCTTTATATTGCTAACATGATTTGGGACTTGATACTTAAATTTACTTTTCCACAAAATAGTATTTTCTCATTCCCCTCCATAGCCTGAATAATTCATATTTTCTACATTTTATTTGCTTCTTTCTGAATATATTCTATGCTTTTTAAAATTATGCATCAGTCCAAATTCTGTTCTTACCAAAAGTACATCATTTTAAATCTGTGTATTCAGCCATTCATTTAACTGAGGGAATTCTTAATATATATAGTACATTTCATTATAGAAAATACTGTTTCTATGTATGAATTAGGAATCAATCTCCTTTTCTTTATTCAAGATCACCTTTAAAAATAATCATAATTATAGAGGAAAATTAAAAAAAATTAAAAGATAAATACAAAAATAGATAATACAAGATGAATAAGATTTTTCAGTTTTTCAGCAGTTGTTGTATCTTAATGATAAAAATTTTTTTAAAAAAAAATAAAATAAAAGTGGAGGTTACACATAGTTTCTGAATTTGAACAAGGAAATTAAAGATGATTAAACTTACTACCACACAGAAAAAATCAAGAAAAAGAACTAATACAATTCTAAATTAGAATATCACTTGTTTCTACCAAAACAGAATTCTCTAGAAATAGATATTCTATCAATTTCAATCTTCCTAAAATTCCATTGGTCCTGAATATTCCAAACGTTAATTTGAGGGTGGACATCAAATGAAAGTTTGGAATAGCATTATTAGATCTGTGTTTCCCAACTTCAGTTCACATATTCTAGCAATCTTGCTCTGATAAAATGACTAAAGTCTTTCTTTCTCCAGCAGAGACAAGATTTGGGTTAAACTTGCAGTGTAACTGTTATGTATTGAATATATATAAAGTTGTGTTAATCCGTGCTAAAGTGAAACTAACTTAACTCCAACTGCTTGTGAAACTAAAATGAAAGTAACCTTCAGATGACCCTGACTGTTAACTCCAACTGTTTTGGAGGGAAACTTTGAACATTCATATTTGGGCGGGTTTTTCAAGTATTGCGATTGGTTAAGGCCCTGTGGGCTCAGAGTATAAATTACAGGCATTGCCTGCAGTTCTCCAGTTCTAGTTTGAATCAATAAATAATGTTGTAACTATGCTAGTCTGCTCATTGCCTACTGAAGCCCACTGCACAATAGTGGGCGACAAGGATGGGATGCTGCAGAGGAGAGAGCTGCTGCTAACCAAGAGACTAAAATCACTGGGTGATAGGCTGGGTAAAGAGCCCCGGCAGGCCTAGTTCTCACACACACCCCCGCCTACCAGTAAGCCACACTGGAGGCACGCTGAAATCACTGAGTGTCAGACCAGGTAAAGAGTCCTGGTGGGACCACGCTCCCCGCCCTACCTACCAGTAAGACACACTGGAGGCACAGATATACCTGAGGGATCTGTCCCCAGTATCCCAAAGTGCAGCACAGCTCCAACTGCAGCAGTAGAGGTATTAACCAGCACCACAGGGGCCTCCCCAAAATGGCTAAATTGGGAAGGCTCAACAAGTTCGATATTACTTATCTGGAACATTGGAGCTCATACGTCTCCCGAGTAGACAACTATCTCTGGGCTAACCAGATCACAGATGATGGCCTGAAGCCGGCAACCTTACTATGTGTCTGCGGAGAAGCCACGTTTGATATCGCTGAAAACCTGATAGCACCGGCAAGTATAGAGACTGTGGCCTACGCAGACCTCAAGAAAAAAATAAGGGAACATTTTGAGCCAAAACTCTCAGTAATCGCCTGGCACCATGCATTAAAGCAACGTGAGTAGAGATCCAGGTAATCTGCAGCAGAGTTTGTCACAGCCCTTTGCCAAGCTTCGCGCCAATGGGAATTCCCTGACTTGGAAGACCGTCTCAGAGACAGGCTCATTTGCAGCCTGCATAATAGAGAATTACAGCAGCGCTTATTCTCCATGGAGAAACTGACTTTCCAAGATGTATTGAAGGAAGTCATGGCGGAAGAGGCTGCCAGAGGGGCAATGAAGATTCTCCGGCCACCTAAAACACACACCAGCCCACAGCGATCCACCAAGAGACCGCAGAAGGCTCGGGGGAGGCCAGTGAGAGTGAAGAAATTGATCATTTGCAGAGAGAGCCACCCAGACAGCCACACTCCACAGAGCTGCGCAAGCTGCGTGGGGCAGCATGAAAGAACAGAGTGCAGATTATGCACAGCAGTATGCCATGCCTGTGGAAAGCAAGGGCTCCTTGCCAGAGTTTGCAGAGGTTGTCAGCAGGAAATGAAACCTGTGACACAGCAGCACAAGGGGAAATGGTCCCCAGGACAGAACAGAGTTGAATACTGCTCAGGAAGGCATAGCATCCAACGCACAGGGGCCCAACGTTCCATCAAAGAAAAGACAAGACTCCAACTAAGACCGCAAGGGGTCCCATGCTCTATGGAGCTAGATACTGGATCTGCCCTATCCATTATTTCCTCCAGGACTTTTGACCACATTTGCAAACGTAGCCGATAGCAGGTCCTGCTCAAATCATTGAGCTTAGTGCTAACAGACTTCCAGAATTGCCGTGTTACCGTAAGGGTGGAAGTTACCATTAGAATACAATTCAGAGAGTTCGAGGGTCCCCTCAGCATAGTGGTCGTAGAGGGACTGTGCACCAACCTCATAGGACTGGACTGGTTTGAGGCCGTGGGCATCAGGGTGATCGGCATTCATCGAACACAAATAACTGATCTAGCAGCAGTATGCCAACAATATGCTGTACTCCCAGTACAGCAACAGGTCGCAGCCCAGCGGAGCTGAGGTGGGGCCACCGGCTCAGCACAAAGCTCGACCGACTTCACCCAGACAGAGTAGTGGCAGAGAACGGCTCAACCAAAGCCCCCCAGGAACTTACAGCTGGGTGAATTGGTCTGGGCCAGGAACTATGGAAGTGGTGGCAGCTAGGGTATCTAAGATAATGGGACCCTTGTCATACGAGGTTATTCTGATAAATGATCGTATGATCAGATGCCACATTGATCAGTTATGGTGTCAGCAGGCCAGACCAGTGCCAGATGAGGATACCGAGGTTTTATCAGACACACAAGAGAACTGTTTTCCTCTGAGTTTGCCTACATCACCTGTGGCCTTCTCTGGGGAAACGGAGGTACAAAGGGGCCATAGAGCCACCGCCACTCACGGGTGACCTAAACAGCCATCATGACTGTTCAACTGGAGATGGACAAAAGTCCACTTGAACAGGACTCTCCAATAACATTGCGGCAGCCCATTAGGATCCGCGGGCCCCCAGCCTATCTCAAAGACTGTATATTGAACAGACTGAGGATGATAACTATCCTAGGGAAAAGGGGTGTTATGTATTGAATATATATAAAGTTGTGTTAATCCGTGCTAAAGTGAAACTAACTTAACTCCACCCCAGGCCACCCCAACGATGCCCTTGACGTGATGACCCGTTGCCTGGAGGCCGTACGGGTCTGGATGGGGAGGAACAGACTCAGACTCAACCCTTCCAAGACCGAGTGGCTGTGGTTGCCGGCACCCCGGCATAGTCAGCTGACTCCATCGCTGACTATAGGGGGCGAGACTCTGGCCCCCTCAGAGAGGGCA